CCAAATCAGACTACTTTCCGGCAGAAAGTAGTCTAACTTCATTTTCTGGTTTGATAAAGCATGTTGATGTGCCCCTGTGACCATGGTCTCACTTGTGGATTATACTTCTAAGACAGATAAATAGATAAGGCATGGGGCCAGGTCAGAATTTGTCACCTGGATGAAATAAAACACTGCTGCTTTCAATGACGTCTTCCCAACACTTCTTAGTTTTGTTTTCTGGAGCTATATATTCTCTGACTATAATAGGGGGGTAGAAGGTTAGCTAATTAAATAAAAATTGTCATTACTCCCTTTCAACACCAATTAACAACATATGTCAATTTTAGAGCATCCCCATATGTCTAACACAACTCTTTGTTCTTATAAAAAATATATGTATTCCCCCTGGCCGGTGTGACTCGGTTGCACCAAAGGGTCGCCAGTTCTATTCCCAGTCAGGGCACATGCCCAGGTTGTGGGTTCAACACCCAGTCAGTGTGCATGTGGGAGGCAACTGAGTGTTTCTCACATCGATGTCTGTCTCTGTCTGTCTCTCTCTCTCCCCTTCCCTTCCTCTCTCTCTCAAATCAATACAAACATTACACATATATGCCCGAGGACAAGAAGCTTTACCTTAGTGGCTTGGTTAAAGGAGGACGGGAAGGCACCAAAATCTTAAAGCGCCTCCTGTCTGGCACCCAAGGTAGAAGTGTAGGGGAATTTGCCATCCTGGGGCCCTGGAGAGGTGAGAAGGCCTTTCTTTTGTGAAGTGGGAACAGATTATGAAATGTAACAAGGCCCCTCACAGCAGAGATATTTTCGGAGAAAGTGCATGTGGACGCTAAGGATGTAAAAAGCAATTCTCTTAAAGCGATCTGCTTCTGAATACCCCTTGGAAGGCCCTGGCACCGCCTGGGGACATGCTACCCTGGTCCGAAGGCCGAGCCCTAATCACCAGGGACAGCATCAATCATCTTGCTGTAAAATTTTTTTTAAAGTTGTGTTACATATTTCAAATTCCTTCCATTTGTTTTTTAGTGAAATGGGTCATAGATATAAAAGAGTACACAAGCTACAATCATACAGTTTAAGGAAATGACAATTCTCTGCGGTGTTAATTAGCGTTTCCCGATCACTGATGAAGCTGAATGTTTTCACGTTTCTTCTTTAACTGAAATTCTTGCCTATTTCTCTCTCC